GGAGATTTAGTTTTCAGGGTTGATTAGGCATCACCCTCCTTAATATGATTTCATGATATAAGAGGACATGCATTCTCTTCCTGTCATTTCTCTTTATTTCTTTTTAATCATAATTGAAAACATGCATGGCTGGGAAGTTAATCTATCTATATCTATATGTATATATATTTAAAAACTAAGAAAGGCTTAAAGGAAATAAAAGTTATTAAAAGTACATTAAGAGTACTTCCTAAGCATTTTCTTGATATGTATGTGAGTGAGGACAAAACATTAGTTTAGTTAGATTGTAATCCTTTTTAAGTTTTTGATTTTGTATTTTGAATTTGGTATATATATATTTTTTAAATTTTTACTCCCTTTAAAATTTGTAACCTTTGAACATTTTTTCTTTTCATTTTATCAATGGGAAGTTTCGTGTGTCTAAATGAATTATTTAACTAGATAATTATTGCGTGTTTCTCCCTATAAGTTATTTTTTCATGTATAGCATAGATTTTGCAGTGGATCACTTTAAACTTTCTGTGAACAGTTAGTGCATCTGGAAACGGATCAGATATAACATTCAGATTTAAACAAGCCATTACTCTCAAGGCGGGAAAAAATGAAATTGCTTTGCTAAGCATGACCGTTGGTCTACAAGTGAGTTGCTTCTTTTGCCATCATCTATCTTGTGTCGCATTGCCTCAAACCATATTTTGCTCTTTTATTTTATTTTATTTACCGAAAACCATACTCTACTTTAAGTAGATGCCCCTTATTCTCAACCATTGAAGCCTTTTTGTAATCCATAAGTTGTTTCCTTACTTAGGCTTCTTTTTTAGTGCTATTTTTGGTTGCCTGTTTGTATTATTTTATTTGTCTGAATGAAAGCTTGTTTTTTTTTTTTTTTCTTTTTAATTACCTGTTAAAGAAAAACTTGTCATCTCAGTATAAAGTCCAGGGCAATAGGACTTCTTGATGTCGATATCAGCAATGATATCATCCTTGTATTTTTTAATTAGAGGCCTTGAGAAACACGGCTGCTAATATATATGTTCATTCATAGAAGTTCACAATAACTTTGAAACAATCGGCAACCTCTTTTCAACTGTCTGGGGATACTTATTTTTGCTTTTGGTATCTTATTGTTTTTTTCCCCCTTTCTATATTGCAGAATGCCGGACCATTTTATGAGTGGGTTGGAGCTGGACTTTCAAGAGTTGTAATAGAGGGGTTTAACAATGGCCCATTGGTCTTGTCTTCTCATGCTTGGTCCTACAAGGTAGCTCTCTCTTTCTCGCACAAAGTCATACTCACGAGCCAACATAACATTCATCCTAAATATTTAGGCGGTGAAGGCATAAGAAACCTTGTTATTTGAGCTAACTCATCTGTTTAAGGCTTAAAGCAACCTTTTCAAGGACAAGTTTGGTGCCACATTTTGTACTATTAAATGCTCATATTTAACCCAGAGTCAATTCAAATGCAACTCAATTTCACAATTGCCAAATGTACATCTCTACTTGTTTGTAGGGCCATTGGTTCAAATTCCCTCGTAATGTAATATTGTTTTAAAACCACTAAATTTCATACCTAGAAACATTAAGGTGGCCTGAAGGTTTTTGATGAAGGGATTCGGGAGTGAACATTATCATAGTGATCATGATATGCCTTCATTTTCTAATTTCTGCAATTTTTAGCTTGGATTGCAAGGGGAACACCTCGGTATTTACAAACCAGATGGGATAAAAAATGTCAAATGGATATCAACCAGGGAGCCCCCAAAGCAACAACCTTTGACTTGGTACAAGGTAAGTATTTGACCTATGAGAGTCATTCATTTTGCTGTGAGAAAATGTTCTGGTATTATCTATGCTAGGTGGTGTTGGATTGTTGGTGTAAGTTTGTGGTTGAAAAGAGTAATGATGTCTTCTCTTTTTATTTGTAAAAGAGATGTCACTGTTATCAATTTTGCAGGTTATTCTGGATGCTCCCTCTGGAAATGAGCCTGTCGGGCTGGATATGGTTCATATGGGTAAAGGCATGGCATGGTTGAATGGAGAAGAAATAGGAAGATATTGGCCAAGAAAAAGCTCTGTTCATGATGCGTGCGTTGAGAAGTGTGACTACAGGGGCAAGTTCAGACCAGACAAATGCTTAACTGGATGTGGAGAACCAACCCAGCGGTGGTACGTCACACATTAAAATGCACTTTTTGGAACAAATATATCGATCAGTTAATGTTAAGAAGGGAATAACGGTGAAGTCTGATCTAACTTTGTGTAGGTATCACGTTCCAAGATCTTGGTTCAAGCCAACAGGAAATATTTTGGTGATTTTTGAGGAGAAAGGTGGAGATCCAACAAAAATCAGATTATCTAAACGTAAGGTCTCAGGTATATGTGCCCATCTTGGAGAAGGGCATCCCTCGATTGAGTCGTGGTCTGAAGCTGAAAACGTACACGTAAAGAACAAAGTAGCCGTCCATTTGAAGTGCCCCGGCAATGCCCACATAGCCACAATCAAATTCGCAAGCTTTGGAACCCCCGAGGGAACTTGTGGATCCTATAGTATAGGTGCCTGTCACGATCCTAATTCTACATCCTTGGTTGAAAAGGTAATAGTTAGCTTTCTTCTACTCTTTGAATCCTGGGTAGTTGTTTTTGGAATTGCTCTGTAGTAACATTGTACTAAGATGTCTGATCTTATTTGCAGGTGTGTCTAAATAGAAATGAGTGTAGGATTGAGCTAGGAGAAGAGAGTTTCGACAAGGGTTTGTGTCCAAGTGCAACCAAGAAATTAGCAGTTGAAGCAGTTTGCAGCTAGTAAGGGAGGCGTTTTGCGTTCATATTTCATTCTAGTTCTTGAGAAAAGAATGTCATCTTTGTATTGCTACCATTGGTTTTAACCAGGCTTTAAGAATTATGAAATATGAAAAAAGATACTGCTTGTCTTGGTCGTTATACTGGTAGTATCAAGTAAATCTTTATTATTCTACTAAAGTGGGGTTTGTAGGACGTTTGGGTATTTGATTTGGTTAGTTTGAGTTTGTACGGGCTTAATTATGAAATGCAATTTTTTTTTAAAAGGCCTTAGTTAAGATGGAGAAGATAGGTGCAATGCATTGTGTACCCATCTTTTGGAGATGTTAAGAAATGAATAATAATAAAAAGATATATATCTTTGTTTAGTTGTTTTTGTTGGCCGGAGATCGCCAACGACCGTTCACACTTGCTCCCATTCATTCAACCATTGATTTTTGGAAGTAAATCATGATTCGAACAGGTGGTGATTTGTAAGTGTGGTTTGTCGGGCTATTTCAGAAGTTGAGGGAGGAGTGCTATTTTGCGATAAAAAGTGGCTTTTATCCCCTAAACCAAAAAGTGTGGACAAAAAACGACGATCTACAGGGTAAGTGAGCGTTTTTAGTGGTGTCAAAGTCAAACTTAATGTTTTTAGATAAACCTTAACCTTAAGCTCACTAAGCAATCTACCTAGACTCTCATGGCATCTTTAATCTAATATGTTTCTACAAGTTTGTCACAGGTATCCCTTAATGTTACCTTATAAAATGTTACCTTATAATAGAGTCGAGTCTATCATGAGCTAATTTATTTGTGTAGTCCCTTGTCTCCTTTTAGAGTGAGTTTCTTCCACACACAATAGTAATTTCTCGATATACTAATTATGTAGTCCCTTGTTCACTCTCAGGCAGGTTTGTTCAACACACAATAGTATATTTTCAATCAACTACTTGTGTAGTCCTTCGTCGTCCCCTCTCAAGTTGGGTTATCATACACACAATAGTGATTCCTCATGCTATCTACTTATGTAGTCTATCGTGCCCTCTCAAAACGGGTTATCATACACACAGCGATAACTCTTTATATCGTCTACTCGTGTAGTCCCTTGTTCCCTATCAGCGCATATTATATTCTATGCACATAGTGACCACTCAAATAGTTCCATTCGCATTACCATCGATCTTATATGTTCTCGTAGTTCACCTTTAGTGTCATGGAGATATATTAGGTTCTAGGGTGTCTAGTTGTATTCACCGAATTTATCAAGAACGATTGTATTAATACGTGATGCAAATGCATCTGTTAAGTTTTTTAGCATGGCTGAAGTTGAGGAAGATATTTGGTGAGAGGCATAGAACTGGGAGAAGGGTTTGTGGATGATGACAAGTTGAGGAAGATCACAAATTAATGGATAGGGCCACCGACAACCAAGTCCCCACCATAGTGACCCAAAAATGGTGTGCAAGTTTAAATGATACATTCACACAACCATGTGCTTAACCCATCATTGCATTTATTTGGTCTCAACTTGAGAACAAATCAAGTTTTGACGCCTTAATTATGAGTTTAGGGTTTGAATGCCATCCTAACTTTGTTTTTGTTTTTTTTTTTTGGATTTATTAAAAAATAAATAGAAGTTGGGAGCAAAAAAAAAGAAAAAAAAAAGAAGGGTCATTAAAGTGTTTGGGAAACGTAGGTAGGGAGAGTATGATAAAATTTAATTGTTATTAAATGAGAGTTAGGTATAGATATTAATGAATTTAAGTTTTAGGGGCAATCAAACTCAAACTCTCTCCATTTGGAAACTATATATTATATTTGGTTGAATGCCCTTTTCATTCATTTATACTTCCAACTTTATTATCTTAATTAATCACCATCTTATCTTTTCATTTAATCACAAATTAAACATTAATGTTCTCACTATATTTTCAAAACATATCATTCAATTATGTTCCTTTTTTTCCATTATTAATAACATTAATACTTTCTCACCCACTCTCAATAATGTACCTTACATTTTCATCCTCCATTAATATACAACACATAATTTAATTCTCCAATTAATACACCTTACCATAACTCAACATCTTCATCTATATTTATTTATAAAAAAAAAAAAAAAAAAAGGTAAAATTCGAGTGTTTTAAGGATGAGAATGATTTAATGGTAAAGTTAAGGAATTAAGTCATACATAATTGAGAAATAAAAATTATGATACTTGAATTGTTGGTATGATCTATTGAAATCCCACCTTTCCTTTTTGCAATTTTCTTTTTTACATATAATTAAAAAATATTAAAAATACTTTTCCTTCCCACCTCTTGGATTCAAATCGAAATGTTCAGATCAAGCCGAGGTTTCTTCTCCGCCGGCAACGCCACGACGGACCTACACCGTGGACACGTCGGATTGTTCTTCATAACCAACACATACGACAAACACCCAGGGCAGCCCACGGCGATCTGAGCCGCCGCCGAGGAAGATGACGACAGAGATTTATTAAAATTGTCTTCTTCTTGAAACTCTCTCGCTGACGACGATGAGGAGGAATACGACGGCGACGGTGACAATTTCCACAGCGACGAGCGTTTTCTGATGGGATTTTTATCAGCCCGTTCGAGTGCCGACTTCACCTTATCCAAAGTACAAACACTCTGATAATTACTCCTCGGCGACGGCGACGGCGGCGACGACAACGACGACGAGGAGTCCAATTTCAAATCCAAGCTCGTTTCGTGGACCAAATGGTTGGACAATTTGAATTTGGAATAATTGAGCGACGGCGGAAAGTTCAAATCTTGAAGCTTTGCCACTGTTTGATTGGTTTGATGGTTGTTGAAATCTTGAACATTGCTTCTTTGTATGAACATTTTTCCTGACTGAAATAATTTAAAATAATTTAAAATTTCATTATAAAAGAAAGGTAAAAAAAAAAAAAAAAAAAAAAAAAAGGGAAAAGGAAAAGGAAAATGATACCTTCAAGTCGAGCGTTTTTTCCCAGCCGGAAGGAAGTTGAAGGTCGAGGTCCAATTCTTGGGGGTCGGTAAATTTGGAAGAGCCGCCGGTGAGTAAGTCTCGGGTGATGAGAGGCGTTAAGGTGTCGGGGCCAGATTGATTTGCGACCGTCCGATGAGGGTCGTCTTTGTTGTAAACCGTAAGAACTCGCACGTGGGAGGTCACTTGGGCGGCCATTTTGTTAAGAGAGAGTTTGAAAGAGGGGGAGTGTCGGTTTTGTTGTACGATGGGTGGGTGCAGAAAGGGGGTGTGTATATATGGTGGAAAATAAAAATAATGTTGAAATGAATTTCCCCCAATGGGAGCATCTCATTAAACAAGAAAACAATAAATAAGGAAGAAATTAATTCAAAAACATAGAAACAAGCACCACCTAAGTTATGGACGCATTTATTACCCACCAAAACTTCCTGCTTCCGCCTTTTCTTTCCCTATTTATTTTCTATTTATTCCTCCCAAATCAAATTCAAATTCAAATTCAAATTTTTTCTTTTTCATTTTCATTTTCATTATCATTATGCCACACATTTACATCATAATTTTAGATACATTGTAACCTATACTTTATTGTTTCAATTATCATTGCTGCCTCCATCAACAAAATCATTACTTTATTATTAATCTTATTTTTCTAAAACGCCACGTGATATATATATATATATATATATATATATATATATATATATATATATATACAAACCTTCTAACTCTAATATTATATAAATAAAATTAAAAAAAAAAAACAACTATCATAAGAAGAAAAAAATGCACACGAACGGGAGGAGGAGATATTATATTAATACTATAAAGAGACGTGCATGGACTTTTGGTTACACTAACCATTCATGGGTTGGTGGCACGTGTAAAACTACAAAACACTTGGTCATTGCTTAATTTCTTGGTTTCTAAAAAGTCGGTTTATTTGGAGGATAAAAGGACGAAAATGCCCTTCCTTCAATTAATGCTCGTAGTACATTCTAACTCAACTCAACAACCCTCGCACCACTGTTGGTTCTACAACTTTGGGTTTACTGCATTTTCAACGGTAGTGGTTTGTGTTATTTAATACTTTTAATTCAATTCCACCTAACAATTTGTATTTTGTTAGGAAGAGGAGAGTTTATAAAGATAATAATAAAAAAAAAAAAAAATAGAATGGGACATTTATGGAATAAAGTAAATAACATAAGATGTTTCCAAATCCTTGAAAATGTTGGGAGTGTTCTTACACGTACGGGTGGGGGTATTAATTAGGGTTGGTCAAACATTTTGAAAATTATATAATATAAAAACTTGTAACATCAACGCATTCATTCTCATTCAAACTCCCCCATTAATGAAACTAACGAAATTTCTCCTCTTTTCTTTTCTTTTCTTTTATTTTATTTTTATCAAATGTGGCCGCCACCCACCAAGCAATTTTAAGATTCAACGCTCATTAATTCTAACCATTTTATTTTATTTATTTTTAAAATCAAACTTAATTCATATTATTTTCTACTTCTTTTTTTTTATAATTGAAAACATAATAATAGTAAACGACTTCCAACTTATAACCACCCTCTTAAATTATATAACTTCAATAATTTCACTTATAATGTAAATAGGTTAATTAATAACTTCATTTATATTCTTCTAACGTTCTTATTAAATTTTCCTGTCCCTCTATAATAATGTGACTCCCTTCTAAATCATGCATGCTTTATTAATTCACTTCTAGATCATGCATGCTTTATTAATTCACTCCCAACCAAATCAAGCTATATTTTATATTTTACGACCTATCAATACCTATTTTATTTTTTTTTTTATTAAAAATAAACTTATTTTTGCGTCATCACTTCATCCTTCTCAACACATTGTTTTCCTTAAAGAATAATAATAATAAAAAAAACTATATATCTCGGAGGAAAAAGGAAAAAGAATATAAATAAAGAACTGATTTTTAATTACTTTATAAAATGTTCAAAGGTAGTAGAATGGGCCCGTTTGGTATTGGGCTTGAATGGTCCATAGTAGGGCCCAATAAACTTTAATCTTGAGATGTGAGATGAGGAAAAGGGTAGGGCCCAATAAACTTTAATCTTGAGATGTGAGTTGAGGAAAAGGGTAGGGCCCAAGTAAGGATCCAAAATGCAAAGAATCTGGTCGTCTCACCATTCACCAATGCCGCAGCTGCAGAATAGAAGTGGGTCCTATTTTTACCAACTTTTTCTGAAATTTCAGGGTTCCGATTCTCTGCATTTTTCTTTATTTTCTTAATTTTCATTTTCATTACCTTTTCTTTTTATTAAAAAAAAAAAAGGGAATACATAAATAAATTAAATAAAATTTGGATGCAAGATTTATAATAATTAAATAGGTGGGAATAAATATGATTTTAGACTTTTTTGAACCAAGTAGAGGGTAGTTCCAAATGGCTCAAGTCTGGAAATAAACTCTTTTAAGGGAATTAATCAACAACTTTCCTTATATATTTGATAAAAAAAATGTTTAAAAAAGAAAAAGGGGTCAAACTTTTACATAGCGTCACTTTCAAGTTTGACCACGTTTGAATCATATTTTAAAATTAAATCAAATGGTGGAAGAAAATGGAGAGATAAAAGGTACAACTTTCATTTTTTTTTTTTAAAAAAAAAAATAAGTAGCAGGTTGGGGTTTTAAAAAAAAAAAAAAAAAAGAATTTGAAAAACAATAAATAGAATTTGGATAATTTATCAAAGAGGACAGCAATTATAGGAAAACCACGGCAAAATTAGTCCTCATTAAATGAAGGGGTAATTTGGTAAAAAGTCGAATTATTCTCCTTGAATATTAAAATAGTATATTTATTAATTTAAAAAAAAAAAAAAAAAAAAT